TCATGGTGATGTTTTAGGAATCTCAGATGGATTGGAACTCAATAATTTAACTGAGAAATATGCTTGACAAACAGAATACCAGTTACCAATTTCAGTTGAAATGTACTTCTCAACAATATCTATGAAATCACAGCGGTTCAACTCGCTTTACAGAAACAATCAGTGATTTCATCCTAGATTAAGTTTTCTCAGGCATCAGTTTTGAAGTTTGTAAAATATTAATGAATTTATACCAATAAGTCACTTTTTCAAAGAGAAACTTAAGATTAATAATTGATTATCTTTATTTGACTTCAAGGCATTCCATGAGAGCAAATGTAAAATTACAGGATCAGTAAGTCGACTGAGTCTTTAATGGAAAATATCATTCAGTTGACCAATAAACACATATTCTGCGATAAATATTTTACTTACACATGTGTATATGGGTAAATAAGAATTTCAAAATTTGTGCCATTTTATAATTAGCAACATGTACCTGAACACGACCTATTTCTAGCTTTCATTGACTCCATTGACATTATATATTCAGTGTTTTGTTCCCAAGTCGAAAAACTTTGTTCTAAGTCTATGTAATTGAAATATCTAGAAATAATATGGGATCAACTGATTGTCTTGGAATGGGAATGACCTTGGAAGGGAGGTGGGGTTTTGGAGTGGGGGAAAATGAAGATTATATAAGCCTTTATTTTGTCCTGTAGGTGAGTCTCTATGTAGCTTTATATATATAGTCCTGTCTCACCAGTACTCCTTCAGCATCAGACTGGTTGGAATCCCAGGACAAACTGGGTCCATGCCAAATTGCTAGTCCTGTGATGAACTGTATATATTTAAATACCTAGAGTAGTACAATGTAGTGGGCAAAACCAACACTTATCCTGACATTTAAGAAAGCAGAAATGTTTTTGGAGGGATACCATGCAGTATTCACTAGAGAACCTTGCTATGTGGTAAACATACTTGTATAGATAAATGAATCTCAACTTTCTTCTATTTATTCCGCTTGCTACATAGTCGACATGTTTTGACCACTGTGCGGTTTTCATCAGGACAATTTTTGGAAATGATAAGGACTCTGAAGTATCGTTAAAAGTCAAGCCCTGTGTATATCCTCAGAATCTGCAGCAACATGGAAGGTTATAACAAATGGATGGGTAGAATGAAGGAACATCTTCTCAAAGGGGATACACAGAGATGTCCAGAAAGTGATCAATTTGGGGCACCAAATATCACCAGAAATTCACCAGAAGGTCAAAATACAAATGACTAGCGCTCAACCTCTGTATTGTCACTGTTTATCTCCTTCAATCCAAAGAATCAGCAACAGCCCACCAACTGATTCTACTTCATGTAGTCATTTCTTTATTTTATCTATATTTTGAAATACATATATCGTACATCTTTTTTAAAAACTGATTTTTTTTTGAAAACCGTAATTTGATTGGACCACTTATAATTACTTCTATTGCTAGTTCCTGACTCTGGGTATATATAAAATGAACCTTTCTTGGTATGGGTTTGTGATCTATTTTTGTGCAATGGTCTTGTAGTTGGTTAAATTATACGCTTGATTAAACATATATATATGTACGTTGTATGAAACACTGTAAGTAAACTATTTAAAAGTCATTCTCATAATTTGATGTATTTTCAAAATATATATTATAGAAAATATAAAAAGAAAAGAACACATAGGTACCATATTATTTATTATATGAAATACACATGGACAAATTATGAAGTGTCTGCTTTGATAATTACTGTTTGAATTAGTACAGTCTGTTAATGCATTATACAAAGAAGCATCATATTCCAAGACTTTCACTAATGGCAAGTTTTCACAGTGGTATAGGACCTGTTGTATTTAATGACATGACACAACCAGTTAATGACAGATTGTGTTTGATTCTGTTGGGAATTAGGGATGCAACTGGAAAGTGATGGAAATATACAGAGACTGTCAGGTCTGCATCAACACGTTCACAAAGTATTACTACATGAAATCACATGTATTATAGATCGTGTACATGCCCTCATGTTCTAGAATTATTTTGTCTAAATTTTACATGTGGATAAATAACAAGAGTGTGATATACCTAGGTATATACATAAAGGATGTCATATAAGAAGAAAGTGCAGTTGTAGCCTGAGGTATGAATCCTCCTTCTTTTTATGCTGGCCATGTAAAGCAGTGCTCATTTGTCACATGGGTGAAGCAAAAGAATGTAAACAAGCATACAGGTAACAGATAAGATTCATTGTTTGTGCTGCACAGTTTCTGGTGTAGATATATATATCAACTGTATTATGGATGTTACACCTTGTAAATAGTTTATGTTGAAATTTAGAGTCTGATCATACATGTATATGGACACTTTTAAATCTATTTAAATTTTTGTTGGAGTCAAATCACAATGAAGATATTCACAATGCATGTATATAGGGATAGGTGAGCACAAGTTTTTAAGATACTATATGTAATCATTTATTACATGTATATATAGTGTATATATGACCAAAAAGGAAACAAATTACTATTGACTTATAAAACCATCCATATATGGTAACAAAGATTGTAAGGATGCAGACATTATTGGGTGCTTTTACCACAGACTGAAGCTTTAATCAAATTCATTTGTTGTTTTTTTGGTTGAAAACATACTAGTGTAGTGTGAAAATCAATTATTCAGTTGAGCTGATAGAACGTGATGTTGTTATATATACCTCTGTTGTGAGCCGAGTTGCATGACATGTAGTCAATTAAAATATGATATAACCGAGCTGGTCTTTCGACAATCACTGTCTACGCAGAGATCATATCGATCATATTTGTCACTGACTCTGAACTGATGGAGTGAGGGTTTATAGCAGGAACTGTGTCCACAGGGGATGAGGCTGGCAGCCAACCTGAAATATATGATGTATGTCAAACCACAGGGTGTAGGTTGACAGGCTTTGCACATGTAAATATGGTATGTTTGATGTAAGAGTAGATGAAAGTACAGAGTAAGGAAAGCTAATAGCTACATTAGAATCTGAATTTTTTAAGTTATTTTTTAGCACATCTTACGTATTTTGTGAATTTAACTTCGCTAACTAGGTATAACTTATGTACAATTTGTATGGAGTATGGAACATTGACATGTAAATTGTCAAAAGACATGTGTTTACTTTATAAGTTGATGGTGTAATCGTCCCGGTAGATCATCAATATGTAGTAATTATTGATGTATTAACCCATATATTTGCCAGTGTAGACAAAGGTTTGATCAGTCAATGTTCCCACAGAGAAAAGGGCAAGGTTTGCTGTTAGCATGGGTGTTGTATAGGCTAATCATATCCAGTCAATGAGATCAATAGTATGTAATCCTTAAAGGACGGGTAAGTTTCCTAAATTGGTAATTAATTATGTCTGATGAATAATTGTTAGACTTTAGAATACAATGAGAGAATTCAAATGAAATAAAGATCTGTAGGGACTGTCAATGTTCTGCATAGTGATTCATCAATATGTACTTTTGACAGTACATAATACCTTCTGCATCCTGATATTAAACAGAATTTAACACAAATGAAATGTGTCATCTTTGATAACTGAATAAGATGTTGACCTCAATGCCTATGTAAATACCTTGATTAAGCTATTGTTTAACTCGTCATGTCTTGATAGAAAATTTTCACAATTTTCATATTTCTAAAAACACAGAAATTACAAAAATTCTATCAACAAAATTTTCAAAGGATTTTGAAGCTTCTCGCATTGCGCATTGCAAAAACAAACTGGTAGACAGTATATGATGAACACAGTAATAGCAGGCTATATCTATCAGTCTTGTGAATATGTGATGTACAGAGTAAGGGTAGGGAACCAGCCATGTGAATATGTGATATACAGAGTAAGGGGAGGGTACCAGCCTTGTGAATATGTGATGTAGAGTAAGGGTAAGGTACCAGCCTTGTGAATATGTGATGTACAGAGTAAGGGTAGGCTACCAGCCTTGTGAATATGTGATATACAGAGTAACGGTAGGGTACCAGCCTCGTGAATATGTGATGTACAGAATAAGTAAGGCTACCAGCCTTGTGAATATGTGATGTACACAGTAAGTAAGGCTACCAGCCTTGTGAATATGTGATGTACACAGTAAGTAAGGCTACCAGCCTGTGAATATGTGATGTACAGAGTAAATAAGGCTACCAGCCTGTAAATATGTAATGTACAGAGTAAGGGTAGGGTTCCAGCGTTGTGAATATGTGATGTACAGAGTAAGGGTAGGGTACCAGCCTCGTGAATGTGTGATGTATAGAGTAAGGGTAGGGTACCAGCCTCGTGAATGTGTGATGTATAGAGTAAGGGTAGGGTTCCAGCCTTGTGAATATGTGATGTGCAGAGTACGTAAGGCTACAAGCCTTGTGAATATGTGATATACAAAGTAAATCTACCAGCCTTGTGAATATGTGATGTACAGAGTAATGGTATGGTTCCAGCTTTGTGAATATGTGATGTACAGAGTAAGGGTAGGGTGCCAGCCTCGTAAATGTGTGATGTATAGAGTAAGGGTAGGGTTCCAGCCTTGTGAATATTTGATGTACAGAGTAAGGGTAGGGTACCAGTCTTGTGAATATGTGATGTACAGAGTAAGGGCAGGCTACCAGCCTTGTGAATATGTGATATACAGAGTAAGTAAGGCTACCAGCCTTGTGAATATGTGATGTACAGAGTAAGGACAGGCTACCAGCCTCAGGAATATTAGTGATAAACAGATCTAGAGTAAGGGTGCAGAATGTGTACCCTTCCTGTGAGAATAGGACATTCAAAGAAAGGAGATATATTCTGCTATCCGGAACTTTGTAGTATACTTGTTCTATATATACATGTATACATACATGTTTTGTACAAAACTTTTTGTATTCTTGTTGTTTTTCTGCTATCTCAAGAACATCTGGAACATCAGTGCTTTGCAAAGGTCGAAGGTCATATAGAAATTAATGTTATAGAAATGGGGTAACATTTTTACTGTTTTGTCTATATGAGGTCAAAAGATAAACAAGGTATATTTGTAATTGTGACACGTTTTTATTTCATTGATTTTTAAAGGACATAAACACAAACCTCTCTTGGAATATTTTTTTTTGCAAACCTTCTCTTGATATTTCTTTCTTCAGGCAAACATACAAATACACATGTTCATTAATTATGTAAAAGAGGTACAAACTTTCTCTTATTTATATTTTATATAATTCTGTACCAAATACATTTTATCAGCCTATCTACTATGTCAATGCGCATTTTTTCCTGATCTATATATAGTATTGATCTTTAGTGAGTTGACCACTACCATTAATTGTTCATGTGATGTCAGTTTCATTATAATTTATGTATACAGTAAAGTGTATGCTGTATTGCACTTAAATAGGTGAATTATCAACACTGCAAGGTAACCATTATCAGCTCTACATGAATGTACCATGTTTAAAGATTAGTAAATGCTTTGTTTGTTACAGCCAGCTCATCACTAGACCAGTATGATGAGGTGGAGCGGGCATCCAGAGAGAGGAAGGAGATTGTGGCCAAGTATGACAAGGTTGGTACAGGAACATAGTGCAAAACATCTCTTATTTATTTCATGGCATTTAAGTTGTCATGATACTAAAATTACATATTGAAGGTCTCTTTTCTGGATGTCCATCTGTCTGTCTGTCCAGTTTTCCTTAATGATGTTAAAACTTACAGTCTTAAAGAAAGATTTATGAGGTCATGTGTCAGAATTTTCAACAACTTCATTTTTTGGTATACAGAGGCCTGTATGTATTATGTATGTCACTGATTAAAATGACAACTAAACATGATTGAGTTCACAATGAAATTCTCTTTAGTGTGAAACATCAGTGACTTTTAGTAAACCTTTGGTCATTTGTTTGGAGAAATGCTTTTAGAAACTTGAGTGACCTTAATGACCTTTCCCCATACTTTTTTATGTTGGATATATTTATATCAGCTTTCAGGCCTTTACAATTTCTTCTTTTTTTTTAAAGGTTATATGCCCCCAAGCATCAATGATATCCTACAAGAATGAAACAGCTGTATAGTGCAGCTCAATTCATATCTAGTAATATTTAAATACTTGTGTTGTAAGGTGCTATTTACTAGTACAGCGTTGCCTGATTTTGTCAGGTCAACCTGATATTGGCCATGTCATGACGTGCTTAAATCACGAAAAAAACTAGAATCACCTGCTCACGTTTGATCATATTTTGAAAATTTTGAAATCAATATTTGGATTAAATAAATTTAAAGACTGGTTAAACATAACCAAGAACATGACCTAAATATATACAAATGTGGTAACTATACAGCAGAATTGATTATAAAACCTTTGATTTTAAATGGCTACGACCAAATACTAGAGGCAAAGAGGTTGGCAACACTGCTTGTATGTCATGTTCATTCCTTTGTCTATACATTGTATATAAAAGGATTATACATGAACTTTATGTTAAAAACTTACAGGCATGAGAGCAATTAAATTTTACTGATACTGATAAAGATTTTGCTATTTCTTGGTGGCAGCATCTAAGAACTTGTTATTTTATCTTGGTCATCATTTAACTTCAACTAGCAAATAATCCCAACAAGACATTGAGAAATTCCTTCAGATAAAAATAGTTAAAAATATTTGAAGGTTATGTAAGATGCTACAGGAAATTAAAACAGCCCAACATATGATAGATTTTGTACCTTGTTTAATATCTAGATAGGTTTGGCATTTCATAGAATTTAAAATGACAATAAAGACTTGTACTTCACACAGAATGTGTAATTCAAATTTGATATTTACAGGGTCGAGAAGAAGGGGCACAAATTGACCCATGGGAGGATCCGACCTTGGAAGTGTACCATGTCACTGACAGATATGGATTCATACAGTAGGTTAAAATTAGATCATTTTAATGTTATATATAGTATATACATGCTTACTCATATATAGCATACAACATATAGCTAATTGGCTATGCAAAATTTTTTTCATGTTAAAGTTTTCATTTTCATTCATGTTAATTAAAAAAAAGTTGTAAAGTTGAAAATATTTAATTTCCTGCTGAAAATTGATCTTATATATCATATCCATTTGCTTGAAAGGTTGTACATGTATCTACCATCTTGAATCAGAAGTGAAAGGATTTATGTTGAGTATGCAGTACATGTATATGTTACATTTTTGTACAACCAGTCTAACCAATTAATCGCTGGCCAGAGAGTTGGACAACTTTATCATTTACAGGATGAATTAATGAGGTGCTGTATCTTGATGTTTTAATTACAGTTTACATATTTTGTTGTTTATTACAGTGACTACCAACTCCCTCAGAAACAGAGTGCAGCTGAAGCAAAGGTAAGGCAAACTGATTGCTTATCATTCAATCATATTTGAAATGTATTTCTCCCAAAGATCCTTCTTGCTTTTGGGAGTCAAAAACAAAGTCGGGTCAGAATGGCTTACTGTTTAAAAGTTGGTTCTGGATTTATTCTATGAACTTCAGGAGATTTTGTGAGATGCTGTTTCAAAAATGGACATATTATGTATTTTAAAGTCTAACAAAAATTGTACACTCAGTTCAACACAAAAACCAATTTGTAGAAATTCTGTAGAGATCAATGAAGATAGATTGACAAATGGTGCTGATTGTGTCACTACACATTTGCATCTGTGCAATGCATTACAAACCACTATGGCAACTTACTTTATTTTACATACATAAGCAATGTTCCATGAATTTCAATATCTATTTGTCATATATATACACATGTAGTATATATGTTCTAGATAAATCAAATGGGACAGCTATAACTGGTGGATTTTCAGTTTGCTTTAGGTGCCACTCTTTCTTCAATTGGACATTGTACTTCTAGTTTTGTTTTCAAAATTTTTATGCAATAAATGTGCTAAATTTAGGTAATTTAATTTTTAATTGACCAGGGGCATTTTCATCAGTTTTGTTTGTCTGAACTAACCATATTAAAGATATTTTGAAAACTGATAAAAAAAAGTTGAAAGAAAAGTTTCTTTAAAAGTACTGAACATCAAAGGAGCAACTTGTTGAGAATGTCCCTTTATGGTATTTGAGGATGGCTAGTGATAAAAGTATAAGGTGATTTTTATATTTATATTAATGACCAAGAGGTCGAATTAGTTTGTTTTAATTGTGTTAAAGCTACATGTTTTGTCCTTTTTCTTATGACATTAGTATTGAAACATCACCAGAAGTAAGTTGCATAGAAGCTTAATAGTTTTTGATACAAAAAAGTTAAATTAATCTCACAGTTATTGAGTTTAGAATTGTAAATGAGCCATTCTAACGCTAGAACCAAGAAAAGTTAGAAGATAGTTAATACAGGTTAGCTGGGTATTTTTGTTTCAGGCTACAGAGGTGGAGATTGAAAGGACTCAAAAATGGCTGAAAATGATAAAAAATTGGGACAAATATGCATCTGGAGAAAAGGTATGCCTGAATATATGTAAACTTCATTCATTTTATAACATTTGGAAAACAAGCTATTTTACCTGATACTTATCACTCTTGTTGGCGCAGACGTAAGCGCTTGAATGCATGATCTAAGGCATTTTGTTGTTAAAATATACCAGACAGGACATAACTGAGAAATTTCTTTTCACTGATTTTCAAAGCCAGTCATTTTGTAATGCTGATTGTTAATACTACATCCACCAAATACATCTTTGCGCCTTCAAGTAAGGAAAAGGTAAAATTCCATTCATTTAAATGTAATATAACCACCATGTATATGTTGTAGATGATGCGACGTATCTACAAAGGCATCCCCAATCGAGTCCGAGGTGAAGTGTGGATCAGACTGCTGGATGTCAACAAGATAAAGGCTGAACAAAAAGGAATCTACAGAGTAAGTCAAAACCCCTGTCAGCCCTTAAGTAGAATACAAGAAGTAAATTTCCTCCTACCCCTCCTTATTGGAGTCTACAAAGCAAGTCACCACTCCCTACCCTTCCTTAGTCACCAACTCCTTCACCTAGTCTTAAGCTTTCTATTACTTTTTTGCATTGAAGGAAATGAAGAACAGAGCAAGAAACAAATCTCCACATATACGACAGATTGACCTAGATGTAAATCGGACGTACCGGAATCATCTAGAGTTCCGATCAAGATATGGTGTTCAGTAAGTATTCGTAAACTGCTTCAACTAAGCCTCATAGGTTCTGTTTCCACTTGTAGTCTTTATCAAGGGAAGTAACTTTTCACTTAACATATATGCTTATCTCTCCTGCTTATCGCTTTCAGAAATTTTTTGATACTGGCACTCTTAAAAGAAATAATCATTATGTCCAGGCTTAACAGATGATATGTCACCAATAGTAGATTATTAATTAATCAGAGTCTGTGATACTGTAAAATATACTTATGTTGCCATAATCATTTTTTTTATACATTATCACTTTCGTTAAATAAGCACAATGATGACGAAGTGCATCCTCCTTGATTGCTATATAAATATTGTTCAAAAGCAGCAATTAGCACAATTTTATTTTAGATTTTCATCACAAAAAGAGCTAATGTAAATTGAACTGCTCAAGTATGGTCTTCACACCTTCACAAGGCTTCATAGTAATAGGATTTACACCAAATTCTTCTTAACTTACAGACAACAAGCACTGTTTCATGTACTGGCAGCATATTCCATGTACAACACTGAGGTTGGGTACTGCCAAGGAATGAGTGAGATAGCTGCACTCCTCCTTATGTACATGGGAGAAGAGGTGAGTAGAACAATCTTCAGTCTCGACATAAAATTGAAACAGCAATTGATTGTAGCCTGATTAGCTTTCAGGTCTATGTCATAATTACTTTTACTAGTTAATTACTGTGTATTAAACTTAAAATTTGATGAGCCAGCAATCACTTTTCAATTCCATAGAGACTTCATTAGCAAAATATTTGTTTAGTATGTCAGGTTAAAAGGTTCACTGTTGAAAGTCAGTTTCCAAGCGTGTGGAAACTCCAGAGGTATATATTGTTTTAACATTTATTTTCTGATTCTCTGAAAGTTATTTAACTATCATGAAGAGCTGGCTTATAGTTTATTGTTGTATTTTGTATGTTTTAGAAATCATAAAAAGTAAAAATCATATCAATGCAAAGCTCGCTTCTACAAACTTTTGAAGGAGCTATATTAAATTTATACATTCAGTGTACAAGAGGTGTATAATATTTGAATTAAATACTTATTGTTGAACCTGTTTAAATTCAATTAAGCATACATGTGAAAAATAAATGTTCTGAGGTGACATTGCTCAAAATCAAAGTGTATATTTTTGCACAATACAACTGACAGTATAGTAAAATCACAGGCTTCTTCAAGAAATGTTTTTGTCTTAGTATGATAACTGTGTGAAAAAGCTTACATGTAAATCAATTATTGAACATATCAGGTTTTATTTTTTATTTTGTCTCATTCAAATTTACGATCTCATTAACATAGCTTCAAAACTGTAAATGGAAATTTGTGCATCGGCAGTAGATAATGACATAATGTATTAGTCATACAGAGTAATTCTCATGGCTAATTATAAGTGATTATCTATGGAGTATATTGATACTTTTAGGTAGTTAATATATCATTAAGTGGAATCCAGACAGATCAGGCTTACATTTTGTAATAGTGTTTTGACTCGAAGTGTGATAAAAAGTACACTAGCTGGTTGGGAACACCCTTATTTGCTTAGCAAAGATACAGGCAGTGCATTGAGAGATAACAAGTACTAGATATAGTTAAGGGGTGTGAAGGTGATTGTACTGGCACTTCCTGACATTCCATAATCATTATATTGAAGTGCTTTAGGTATTTACACCTCCATCTATGGCAAAAATGTGCTTCTTGTGTAACTTGTACAGACAATAGACATGAACAAATTTTATTATTTTGATTTTTATGATTTTGATACAATCACAAAAATACCATATATACAGTTTGATAAAGGATCTAGAAATCTGTGAAACACAGGGAACTTACAAGATTTCTAGATCATTTGATTACATTGTATAATGCTTCACTTCCCTATATACCATCCTGTTGTGTAGTGTACAAAGGGAAGTAACCACATTTTGGAACAATCGGTTGTGTAATCAGCTAAAAATGTATTTTTGTATTGTTTTAAATGCATTATGGGACTAAAAAACAGAAAGGAATGCTTTTCTTGACAAATAGTGTTGTTTATAGAAATATCATATTCATGAACTGTATATATTCCCAGCATTGGCCTAAGGTTGCTCTCACAGGAAACATTATTTTTTGCTTATTGTTGTATTTGCTGTGTAATGCAAAAACATTTTCTCTCAGCTGTTATATAAAACTTTAGCAAAAGTTTTTCCTTAAAAAGTAGTTGTGAGATGATCTGTTTTAACATATGAACTTTAGCTAATTGTCTGAGATATCAGGGAAATTAATCTTCCAATAGATATATGTACTACTGTTATATTGATATCCTGTATGTTTTGAACAATATTGATACTCTTAGAACTTAAATGTGTGTATCTTTATGTATTGACAAAAATTTGTGTTTCTTTCTAGGATGCTTTCTGGGCCATTTCTCAACTCTTTTCTTCAAAGAAACATGGATTGCATGGTATGTACACATTGCTTACGTGATTGTACATTTGATGACTGAAAAGTTTCATGAACTCTTCATATGACTATGTATTTAATATAGTGTCATGACAAATACCTATCCTTTTGTCATCAGTTTGACATCACTTTTTAGGCATAGCTTGCCCATTGCCATCAGGTTGTCTTGAGATTGGATGTAACATCCAAAATAAGTTTTGTTTTCATCATTTTCACGCCTTTGCCTGACCAATTACATCAAATAAAGTATTCTCATCAATTTATGTTATAGCTGAGTAATTTGTGTATTATATATTTACAAATGTATACATTTTAAAATAATTTCCTTGAAACATGTAGAATATTCCTTGTTTTCTGGTTATATATAGAATGAAATGAACTTTTGTGTTGACCTTTACCTAGAGTAATTTAATTACATAGCTACATTCTATTTCTAACCTTTCATTTGACTGTGTTCCCCATATAGATATTAAATAGTCTGAAATCAAGGTGGTAATGAAAGGTAGTGAGACAAATCATTCAGGTTGACAATACATTGATTTATATTGCAGAACAAATGGAGGGAATTTATTGTATTTGTTGTCATTCAAAATTATTACAGGATTTTTTATCCCTGGATTTCCAAAGTTATTGAGATTTCAAGAACACCATGACACTATTCTTAAGAAATTCACACCAAAGCTTCGCAGATTTTTTGTGAGTATTTTTATTATACCACTTAATGATGCAAGGGAGATAACTCAGATATAAGTTCTTTCGAATAACTAATTTTTTTGATACTGAAGAAAATAAAAGATAGCAATAAAACAGAAGAAGGATGTGGAAGTCCTCTAATGTTGGGATTTGTGTTCCATTGAGTTTCACAATAATCATGTCAGAAGTTCTTAAATCATATTTAATTATACACATTGAAATGTATTAATGATTCTGACTGTAGATTTCATCCCACAATTCTGAGCATTCATCAAAACATCAAAGCTACAAGATATCAGTTTATCAAGACACATCAAGTAGACTTGTACTGTAATGCAATGTGTAATGTGATACATCACAGTAAATAATCAATGAATGTTCAATTTCATATGTCTTTGTAGTGTATATTACTAAAACTACTTCCTCATTACATCTTATGTTTATAAAAAGATTTTGATATATATGAAAATTTTGTTATGTTCAATCTGTATCAAATCCTTTGACTGGTATTAAATGAAATTAACATTATTCTGAAAATATTTATTGTAATTTCAGGATAAAAATGACATCTATACAACATTATATACTATCAAGTGGTTTCTCCAGTGCTTTTTAGATAGGGTAAGTACAGAGAGGATCCTCCGTCATCATGTAGAAAGGTGACAGTTGTATCTGATTTGGCTATTATATATATATAACAAAAAGCATTTTTTTAAAATGTTTTGATTCAATGATCTTTTGTCCATATTTTCTCTTTTTTGAGATATAAAAATGTATAATGAAAAAAATCACGATCTAATTTCTGTAAGATGCTTAAAAACAAATATATTATCCCCTTATTATAAAAGTAAGACTTGATTCAATTAGATGAAAAACATTAAGATTTCTCTATGTAATTTTTGTTATGAATAATTTCTATCTCCACAGGTGCCATACACACTCAATCTTCGTTTATGGGATATTTTAATGCTGGAGGGAGAAGTCCTCCTTACAGGCATGGCCTACACAATAATCAAGTTACACCGGAGTAAGTATCCTGTATCACCTAATTAACAGTATTTAATTGACACCAGTGTTGGCATCCCATATCACCCGTTACACAATATTTTTGATTTTCATGGCCTGATAATATTAAATTCATGCCAGTGTAAGTATTCTATAATGCAGACTAACTGATGATGATATTAAACAATGATATACATGTAAATACAAAATGACAGATAAGTTAAAAATCTTTAGCTGATTACTATATGTTTTATTTTGTGTATGACATGGTATATTTTTACCAGTACAAAATCAAATTTTATCACAAAAATACTGTACATTTTGTCACTTTTTTATAATTATATGATGCATTCTTTCACTCACTAAATCCTTCATATTTTTTCCCTATTGCAGGAAAACTTCTGAAGATGAATGTGGATGACATACTTCAGTTTTTCCAGTCAGGGTTGGAGAAAGACTTTGGGTATGATGATGATACTGTGATAGATCAGTTACAAGTGGCAGTTGAGGAACTGAGAAAAGCTAAGATGGAAGTACCTCCTAAAGCTAAGGTTAATGAACTTCCTACTTTACCATTTGGACTGGAAATTGAGCCAAGTATTGAACAGATTATTAAAAGTAGAAATCCTGAATCTGTTGATGAACATTTCAAACGCAATCCACATAAAGGAAAATCTGGTTTCATGAAAAAGAGAGGACTGACTAGTTCTGGAACTCCAGAAATGTCTCGGAGTACAGACAGTGCATCTATGCAGTCAAGTAGGCTTTCAGACTATTCTGTGGATGACCGATCATCATATTATGATACAGCAGCCAACTCGAGGCTTTCTCTAGCAGATTTTAGTTCCAAAGTTTCCATGCAAAGCTCTAGAACTTCATTTGCTGATGGATCGGAGGGCGGTAGCATCGGTATGATGAGGTTCACTCCTATCATGAATGATGCACATGGAGAAGGTGAACCTAGCATGCTCATGGAACAGGAACAACCGTCACGGGACACGACAATTGAGAATCTTGCTGGAGAACTGAAGACACCTTCAGAGCACTCTGATTATGACAACATCAATGGAAATGGGTTGGAAGATCTTAATTACACATCATCTCACATTGTAAATATCCCCATTAGTAAATCTGATGGCTACATCATGACAAAATCTGAGCAAGTAGGCCCGGTCCAGCAAACTGACTGGGTAGATCACTCTGAGGACCGCATGGTGACGGAGGCAGTCACTTTGTCACGCAGTGACACACTACGTTTGTCACAGGCTAAGATACAACGCATGAAAAACTCTCTGAGTGCAGATGACGAGGGACTACATGAGAGTAGACATGTGTCTAAGGTACTCATACAAAGCTCAAGTCATCATAATGGTTACCTCGCCTCAGAGAATGGACATTCGCCGCAGAGAGTTGAAGTACATATGTCAGCTGTTTCTACGCCTAGTTTACCAATCTCTCGCCAGCAGCATGTAATTTAGCATCTGGGATACCATAGTTTGAGTACTTCACACGGAGCCCCTCATCTATAACAGGTCATACAAATGCACATTTTCGTAAAATAAAACATTTCATTTGAAATATGACTGTTGCATGATGCAAAATTCAATTTTATTCACATTTCATTTTAATTTTGTTACAAGTAAATAAATATAAATCAGAGTTTAAATGAAAATAAAAAATGAAAAATATAAAATAAATGAAATTGTGTACTGGTCCTAGAAATCAATAATAATATTAGTTGTGGTCAGCAATATGTCAACACAAATCTACACTTCTAAGGGGCTTCCTACAGAGATTACCAATTGCACAGTGAGTGATGTTGAGGGGTTCTGTTGTCTGCTTTGTTGTGAAATACAAACGTTATACTAGATATATATATATATTATATATTGGGGACCTGGGTATGTTTCTACCTCTCCCGTCTGTGTTAAACTCCCATTATAATCTAGTTCCTGTTCGCTTCTCTCATGTGTTTTGTCATTAACACCATATGATGTTTTGATATAATATTACTGTTACTGATAAAACAAAACCCTATATGCAAAGTAGAATTAAGAAACATTTTGTATATTTATAGCAATCACTTATTTATGTACCTGTATATATATGTATATAAATATGAAACCTCTGTCCTGTGTTCAAATAGTTTGTGAATATCATAGCCATTAATGATACAATTATTATGAAAAGTTGCCCTGTTATAAAGATTTTACTAACTATATTTAATACAGTTAAGTATTTCTCCCCTACAAGTATGTGTTTTTATCGTCAATGACTGCAGCAGTCTCTGTGATCTAACAGTGTTTGGGCCAGATCCAATAAGACTGACACAGGCATTAGGATTAATTTCCCAATTTTGGAAGTTGAATTGGGTTACCTTTATTTATCATGTTTGTACTTATTTGGTAATTGGTGAGGATGAAATTGGAGTACCCATCAGGATAAAAAAAAAACAAAATATGGTTTATACTCTGAACCACATATTATAGATGAAATTACTATGTAAGCATGCATAATGATGAAAAATTCTGAGACAGGATACTGATGTTTTTTCTTTCATGTGAGGTTTTATTGGCTTTAAGGGGGAACCTGCCATAATCAGTATTCTTGTTTTACTGGGATTGTTGTTACCTTAAGAAAATTGTGGTCATGAACTACCTTCTGATGCTGACATCACAGCATCCAAAAGGTTAATAGGAGGTTCTTGATTTTAAAGGCTGTTGTAATCAGCAACTGGCAGATAATTTTCTGTTATTGTCTATCAGTACTTCCATTGTCTGCATTTTACAGTACTGATTGATCAGATATGGTTTATAGTAGAGCAACAGGTTTTACAGATAGAATCAATCTTTTAAGTATTTCTGATAAATCTGTATTGTAGTAGAAACCTGCTGAAAATTTTCAACCAACCTTTTGTTTTGTGCCAAAGTCACCTTACATCATAAAATGCATGTAGATATAATGAACTTCTGCAGTAATTTTTCTCCTACCCTCCTCACTGTCATTTCTTTAAAGGAGAAGCTGATTCTCAGACTATAAGTATTGTTACAGAAAGCAAATGCTGTTGTCAGTCAGGATTCATGCCAACAAGGAGAGGTTCTTTGACATAATCAGTAATTAACATCTAATGAAAGGAAAGATTTTAATGTCATTATCTGAAAGATGCTTTTTAATGCATAAAAATTCAAGATTCTTTGAAGCATTACATAACATCTTAATACTAGGTCCTTTGTCTTTGAGTCAGATTAAGATTTTTCAGGAGGTGTATAGTGTAGGATATTAACTAGGTAAAGTAGATTGATTAGATTCCTGGTAGAGAGTTTCCAACTGTGATTAAATGGATTTTCTTCAAGATTTTGTTGTAATACTATGTTAAAGTGAAAGAGAAGGAAAAGAGGATGGTCATTTGATCTGTCCTAGCTCTCCTAATCTCTTGTCAGTTCTCCACACATGCTTATAAGGATGTATTGATTTAGATAGCAAGTTATCTGCCCTTGATTTTGTAATATACACCATCATATTTGTGTAGTTTTGATCTTTTAAAGATTGTTAACTAGTCAATATTCGGTGATTTTAATTGCATTATGAACAACACAAAGCCATGTGGTGCAAAGTATATAGATTTAGAGCCCTCCCATCTTTAACAAAGAAATGTTGAGCATTTTTCAACGAAAATATGAGATTTTTTGTTGGTGTCAACATATGTTGATAAATTGTTTTTTAATTTGAGTCATGTGTACTAGAATTTGATAAAACCTGTAAATTTTGACTTGTTGATGTGATGTTTGTATACTATGTTATCACATTTTTTATACATTGATCTTGTAATATTGGAACTTTAGGAACGTCCTCAAGTTCTCCACGAGAGCTGTATTGAGGGTTAAATGTGTAGGTTATTGTGATACTTGGTAGTAGTAATATACAGGTAGTGCGGATATGTATTGTATACTGCTGTGAAATAGATCAATTTTCACACTCTACTTTGTACTATTGTCAACATGTAAGTACATTTCTCTATATAGAAATGTTTATCTTTACACTTTGATGTCTGACGAGTAAACATCATTTTTTCTAGACTTTTATTTATGTCACTACTAAGAATTGGAACTGTTTCCAGACATTGTGGTTCCCTACTGGAATGAAAGAAGTGGTTATTCATTATTTCGCAGGAAGATTTGATTCCCTGAAAAGAAAATATCAGAAATCAGGAAAATCAAAACTTCATTGTTCTCCATTGTTTGGTTCCAGACTTCAGAAAAGAACAACGGTTGATACCTGTTCTTTGAATATGAAAAGGAGCAACATGTACATTCAAGTCAAATCCTGTTGTAAAGCTGTTGCACAATTCCTTTATCTTGTTGTAGAATAATTGACAAATAGGCATTATCACATGCTTTTTATTGTACAATAAACTTTGGGGCCAACATAGTACTGACTCAAAGTCTGGGAAGAAGCTTATTCAGAAAAATGAAATAATTAACAGTTTTGTAATTCTGTTAAACAGCAGTGGATATGGGTGGGCTTATTACCGGACACGGGGTGTTCATTGCAATATAGATACAGTAACCAATTCCCAAACAAGACAAATCATATGACTGACAATGTTAAGTACTTATAAAGTCTTAAAAATGGTCATGACATGTTCCAAGGTTATATTGAAGAATATATATAAATTAACATATATAATATTATAAACTTTTTGATTTTGGAAGATCTTCCCCCTGTTTTAAAGCACAGTCTGTATAACCACTGTCAACAGAGAAATTTACATATGGTTTACTGTTTATATTAGAAGTTTCTTTGCTGAAAAGTATCTGTAAAAAATTTCCTGGGCAAAAATTTCCTCGGGTAGAGCTTATAACTCTGGAGCTAGTCCAGGCTATATCCTTAGCCATCTCCAGATATGTCTGCATTAGTATAGAATATACATGATTTCACTATCAAAACCTATTTTCTGTTGTAAAAGTAGTTAATGAAGCAATGTAAATTGTCTACTTCTCTGCATTATTTTAATTGTGTAGTGTTGGATTCTAGAATATCAAGGTTATATATCATCAAGAATTTAGTTTGTATTCAAGTTCACATTCAGGTTTTTTTAACTTAGTTAAAACAATATAATGTATCAGTTAAAACAATATAATGTATCAGTTATATCTGTAATTAACATCTGATATAATGTATCAGTTATATCTGTAATTAACATCTGATAGTGAACAATGTCTTGATAGGGTTAATACACCTATAAATATATAAGACATCAAAAGGCATTTTAATTCAGTCGTGAATTGATTCATCGAGTCCCTGGATACCTTTAGTTATTTAGGGGTAAACAATTCATCACAAATGACGGCATTGTCTCTATATTCTATATATTCATTATTTTTCTTAGAATTGCAATTGTGATTGCTACATTACATTTTTTTAATGAAATAATCTTAAGAACAGTGCCTCATTTATATTGAAGGAATGATAATCATCAAATTGGCTCCGACAAGGTTACAGTGTTCATTTTTATTTTCTGTTTTTTCATCAATATTTTGCACCATATAAAACACAGGGATTTGGCACTAATTTTCGACCAACTGTCCATACATATGTATTATAAGTGACACATGGGCCATGGGTCAGGACTTCTTGCCAAAACTGATACCCTGTGATACAAACATAAGCATGTTGAAAATGAATACCCTAAATCCTGACATAAATGTTTCAGACTTCAGTCTACTATCTTTTTGCACATTTTATTGTGTATGATGTAGATTATATTGATATCATTACATGGTATGTCAATGCCACCAGACCTAGTCATTGGATGTACATTTTTGTATATTAATGTTACTCAGGGCTAGTGTTTGGGTGAACCAGTTGGTATTTGATGAAAATGAGATTATCATGCTCAATTGTATTGTTTTTGTTTTTATACATGATTTCATCTTTTTAACTTTTTGAAATAAAATCAGTCCAGGAAATAGATGTCATATATAACGCAGATTTATTAAAGAAGGTAATGTTTTAACATTTTGAATTTTCACAATAAATTAAGATCCTCACAGTGCAAATTAAGCAGGAAATTTATACAAACTTGAATAAATAATATATATATTAAATTTTGTGACATTTCAATTATAGCTGTACATTTGTCTTTAATATTAATGATAAGAAACCCTGAAATTTGGCATATGGTCAGTTCTTTTAATATGCTCAGTAAGACTGTTTTGCTACCAGAATCCGTACAGAAGTTCAGTATTATTCAAGAGTTGTTTGAAATTCACCCGACTGAAATGTTGAAGTTCAGGAAAGAGGCAAAAGTAGGGAGTGGGTGGGAGGACAAGGATGATGTGTTGTTTGAGTTATATTATAAAAGAAATGTACTGTCTGTTACCTTTAATACTGATAAAAATTTGAGAGGCTTAGTATATCGAATTTCCTTAAAACAACTATGAATATGTTGATTCCTGAACAGTTTTGGAAGTTATATTACCTAAAATGGCTTGTATTGTTAACCCTC